CAACTTCATTTTGTGACTTTTTCTATGTATTGCAGCTGTAATCGGGAAATGCGTTGATTGACTTTTCATATTATTCGCCATACGAAAAAATGAAAGTTTAAATTTTATTATTGTTTATATCATCTCATGTAACAGTGCCCAAAATACGCTTCAATCATTGCTAAATTCAAATTGGTAGCATTTGAGATATACAATTTTTGCAATATAGCGGATGATAACAGATACAAAAATAGTTTATCCAGTTATTCATTTCTATTAATGCTGTTGGAAAAAAATTGGTAATAAAGTCTTATATTATTTTCTCACGGGGACGTTATTATGGTAGATAAATAGCCAATATGGTATTGGCCATTTATCATTCTGATAAGATTCCTAAATGTAAAATAAATCATAACAAATAATTAGTGTATGAATCCGCAAAAATTAATCTCAACGCTTTTACAAGATCGGTAACGTTGATAACAGAATCATAATGTCATAACATCAATTATAAATTATTTATCGTGTTTTCTCTTTCACATAACAATGAAATATAATTATTTAATCATTTTCAGAATGAAATGAAAAAAGTAAAATAATTTTTAAAGAGAAATGAAATTATTTCAGTTATTTCGCAGGGACTGCCAGTGTAATATTAAGACAAATATTTCAAATTCATAAATGTGCTCTCCTCATCGTTTTCCACCGATCTGTTCAGTTCGGCAAGTTAAAACACAAATGCAAAAGCGTGAAAATGGAAAGGACATACTGAGTTTCTCACGTTGATAAATAAAACCGAGAAAAGGACAGTTGCAAAAGGATTGGGAAAAATTAACTGATTCTGTTAGGAATTATTTAAACAAAATAGACTGGCAAATTTTGTGTTACGATTGTTGCCGTTATTGCTCATTGCCGTAATTTTTTGGCCGTGTGGTGTCGGAAAACCGAGATTAATATTAAAATTACCCACATATATTAAATTCATCAAAATATTTCATTAAGATTATATAATTAAAATTATATAAAAAATAATTTTTTGAGCTCAACCCAAAGCAAACTTTCTTCACTAAACGTGAAAAACTAAGCCAGCGGCGTCTCATAAGTGGAATTGATGGCCTGATACGTAACCTCCTGCNGGTATGGAAAGCGCTTGAAAACTTTCACGAACTAACATTTTTTGTTGGGAATAGGAAAAAGGAAATTTGACTTCGAGTCTTCAACAATTATTAGGAAACAAATATATGCGTGCTTTTGTGCCATTCCAACGCCTAAAACTTCGATGCCTAAAACTTCTAAAACCCATGAAGTTCTAAATATGCACTACACCAGAAGGCTGTGAATACGGCTTTGCACAGCAACAACAACATTTCCTTTCATCGAAAAAAGCGCTTATTGCAGTTTGAAAGCAAATGAGGATCATTAGCACCACCATTTAACACTGTTTAAGAAACGGCAAAATTAATATCAGAAACTCCTTTTCTTCCTGCCTCGAAAATTCTATTTTTGAAAATTTCGAACCAATTATGTATGATTATTATGTGCTTCACTAACATTGAAGTTTTATAATTAGCGTCATGTTCGTGTTTCCTATCCCTTT